CATCGGCTGACATCGAATAGCACATTTAGCATTCATCACTTTTGAAAACTTGACTTATCATTCCCAAAAACAGGGTCTATAAAAATGTGATCATAAGTCAATTATTCTTGGTGATCTAGAAGGGGTTCGACTAACTTTAAAATCAAAATGTTTTCGTATCACATAACACCAGATTTCCCCTTCTGCTCATTCATTAAGTCTCGCTCAACGCAATTACTCTCAAGAGTAGCCTCGACTTAGTTGTACAGTAATAGGATATGATACGGTACTGCTTTGCTACACTAATGACGGAACTTTTTTTTTTCAACATGCACAAAAAATCCGCTATGCGAGGAATCCGTTAGACGGGGCAATGAGCTGCAATATTTCGATTGAATCCCTCGTCAAATTGCTTCACCAGGAATTTTAGAGTACGAATTGCATCAACATTTTCTTTTTCAAGCCCCACGGAAATAAATTTACGCTTGTAGTTTCCAGGACTCACCTCAACGCAATACCCATGTCATGAAGATAAACCCCATAGTCTTTGGCAATTTGGTGCGTGATGTCCGAGAGCAAGGGTATCTTCAGTCCCTCCAAACCTCCCTGGGTTCTCGGAGTCTTCACCCACGCCAAATGAGTGAAATGAGAGTCCACAGAACAAGCCACCACTTCCACACCCATCTTGCGGAAATCCTCCACTCGGTCGCTGAAGGCCACAATCTCCGTAGGACATACAAAAGTGCTGAGGACGATAAAAAATATGCATTATTCAAATTGAAAGCGTTAACACACCACTATAAATAGGGACTAAAGAAATAGCCACCTTGGTAGCTTAGGACACGTATTGCTTCGGAAAAAATGGGCCTACACGCAGACTCTACGTAGCTTAGGACACGTATTCCTTCAGAAAAAAATGGGCCCACACGCAGACTCTTAATTCCTACCCGAGTACTCCTGGCTAGTGAAAATATTTTATCGTAGTACTGTACAGTACCTTACAAGAAGAATGCTCCTAAACGAGGGTGGTTCTAATGCCGTTCATAGTCACGATAATTTCTCGCATAGGTGAAAATCGAAGAACGGATTTTCTCCAGACATGAGAAACATGATACAGTACATTATTCTACACAACAGATCTTCAATTTTTAAACTCGATAAATTTTCAGCGATCAGTGAAATGAGTGGAAAACTCTGGCTCCAACAGGAAAGTTCTCCCTTCGCCTTTTGCAGCGGATCGAAAAAAAGATCTTTAAAATCTAAAAAATGAACAGCGAACGCTTTAGACTTCATTGGAGATAATTCTGATTCATCTTTTATTTTCTTCGACAGCCATTGCTTGCAGAAGTGGTTAGTATTAGAAAGCTTCGAAAAAATTGAACAAAACCAGTGACTCAGGTATACCTTTCACCGAATAATTTCCTAATAAGGATGTCCCCTGATTCAATTTTAGAAAAAAGTGATCCGTAAGCTCCTAGCTGACGACGGAAAGCCGGAATGATGCTGTAATTCTTAAGCACCATACTTCAACTATTCCGATGTGAGACACTCTTAATATTTAAATTTAACAATACTGCACACGACAAAAATTGGAGCTCAAGTGATGTAGAAATCAATAGAACTATCAGTCTATATTCAGATTTCGTGGTTTTGAAATTCAATCTCGAAAATAGGTCAGGATTTTTTTTCCAAGATCCGCCCAGTGAAAGGGCGTTCGAATTATTGAAAAATACGGGGATTCATATTATCCGAAACAATCGTTCAGATCATCCCGTGCCTTGGATTATTTCGGAAAAATGCTTCACCTCACAATTTCTACTATGGTGCTTCGATGATAGAAAAAAACAGAACTGAGAGCAAAGATGTTCATAAACTCGAATTTGTGACACCTTCAAGCGGCGAATGAGGGGATCTAAGTGAAACTTGGAATTGATACCATCTTTAATACGAGTAAGCGTGGATTTTTCATTAACCCAGAAAAATCCCTAGTGAAAAACTTACAAATCGAGCGGATAGAAGAAGAAAACGATATATTTTCCTCTGAAATCCGCCAAAGAAAGCTGTTTGAACTGGCCGTCAACGACTGCTGTGCCTTCCCACGATGGCGCTGGTTTGGAAACTGCCAAAAATTACGAAATAATTCAAAAAAATGAGATGATAATCACCACATAAACAGATTACAGTTAACGAACATCACTCTCAATGGGATTAAATAACTAGACGTTGGAATTAGC